ATATATATACATGTATATAAACACACGCACACGCACGTATATACGCGCGTGTAAGCTCCGTCGCGTTTGCTTCCCTTAAAGCGTCTTGCCTTCCCACCCCTTCTTTGTCGTGGCTTCTTTAGCTTCAGTAACGTATGTAGCATGTGTCTCGACGGGAATTAATTACATTCCCAAATGCGAGGGCGAAGTTGAAATTTATCAGTTTTGTATATCGAGCTTTAATACGGTTGAGGGGAAAGAAAAAAAAAAGATAAATCACACGTTCGAGGTATCGTCTCTCCAATTGATGAATACTTCTTAATTTCTTTCACGTTCGATTTAAAGAAATATTGCGCGCGACAATAATCTTCTTTTGCTCAATATTAGATTTAATAAAGAGCAAGAGAGTGATGAGCTCGAATCAGAAGAGAGTCGTCCGGTCTTAGTTTCTCTAAGTCTGTGTCATATACGTACGCCACTGCCGCGCGCACAATCCTTTCCGCTTTCCTCTCACTGTTCCTCATCCCCTCGCCAACGTGGGTACCTCCGCGAGCCAGAATTTCGCCCGGCGGTATAAGCAAATAATGTGTTTATGCATTTGCATGATGCTTCCGTAACGCGAACCACCACCACAAGGCAACAAAGGCCCCTCGTTGCGCAGTAACAGCGAGGTACGAGACGAGGCGTATTTGTAATCCGAAACCGCCGACTCCCGGTCTCCGACGCCCCACCCCGCCGGAATGGATTTTACGTCCGTGGAACGCGCGATTACACATCGTTGCGAAATTAATAGGCATGCATCGTAGAACGCAAACACGCCGCGCGCCTCATCCTGCCATCGTGCATCGTATCTCACAAAACTTTCCCCATAGCTCGCATTGCGAAAGACGACGTTTCTCTCTCTCTCTCTGATCGAAAATCGAATGAAAAAATTTAGATACAATAAAAAATAGATAAACTGTGTATGCGAAATCGGGAGTAATTACGATTTGAAAATTTAAATCCGTCTCTGTTCGAAGAGGCGCGCATTGGAAAGAAAATTTCTGAAAGCTAGGTATTAAAAACGATTCACCGGTTGATGAAATATTCTCGCAAAAAGAAGGATGCATCATACGGAAAAAAAAGTAGTCGCAAAGTCATCGGGTTTATAAGATAAACTTCAACAGTTTTTTCTTTTTTTTTTTTTTTGTAACACAGTGAATTAATATCACGTGTAAAGAAAACAAATGATCGGTGGATAATAATCGCATTAATACGGTGGTGACACATACGCGCATCTCTACTACTGCGGAACGCGCACGCGCAGTAGAGCGCGATAAAAACAACTCGCAAGTGAAGTGTCATGTAGATTCCGTTTGACAATATAATCTTCTATAAGTGGTCGCGCTTTAATAGCCGATACGGTGATTAATATATGCTCGATTGGCCTTTAATTAGCACTGTACTGATGAAAAAAAAAAAAAAATAGAATATTCCATTCGAGTAAAGATGCTATCAATTTTTTATTTTTCAAATGGATTGTCTCGAAAATTGAGCGTGAATAAATTTATTCTATATAACACATTTTCGACTTAATTTTGCACGAGAAGAGAATCATCTCTTTTCCGGTCTCGCCACATCCCGTACATCGAACCCCGATGTATAGCGAGTTAAAATTCACGAATCCATAATTAAACATTCTTAAAATCTCACGGTGGTTGTCGGTATCGCTCTTCTGATATCCGCGTGCATTTTTAATGATCTTCATATCTTTTGACGGTGAGCCGTTTCCCCGTCACGTTGTTGCTTTTCGCGCGCAAGTGTTACATCTCACAACAGAATTTAATGAGGTCTTTCCCTGGAGGCGAGAGGAGCTTTTTGCTTCGGCTCAAAGAGAGACTCCTTCTCCCCCCTCCGCCGCCTTGTCCCGACGCGAAAACTACTTTTGACGCTTTGTTCCAATTAATTCAACATTTCATTAATCTGCGCATCAAACGCGCGTTCATCTTCTCCCCGCGCCGTTTTTTGTTCCCGCGATTTACAGGCGAGATACACGCGAATAAATATTTTCGAAGAGAATGGGGTTTTCAGATTTTAACGCAAATTTCTGTGTTTTTTTTCGAGATTATATTTTTACACTACAAAAATATCTCCTTGATTTCTCGTTTGACTTCAGATTTCAGACCTTTAGCGTAATATACTGCAATTTATTCGTGTCGAAAATTCACAATGAAACTAGAATGTCTTGTTAATGAAACGCGTCGTGCGCTGAAACGAAGAACTGACGATCAGCAATTTGCTTTGAGACGACATTTCGTACGCCTGCTGACGGTGATGAAATTTTCGCGTCTCCCTCACGGATTCTGTGTGCCGAGTGAAATTCAGTAGCCGTGCATTCCTATTCTCAGTATGTGCACGTGCGAAAGCCGTCCGGGTCGAGCCTACAAGCTTGTGCAAATGCGAATACGCGCGCGTGTCAATGTGCACAACACTCGGTATTACTGCACATCAGCCTACGCGGCGTGACTGTGCATCCCGTTTGCTCAGCCACGACTGTTAATTTCGTCGCTATTGAGCATATTGAGCATATTTGAGCGTGTGTGTGTGTCTGTATGTGTGTGTACATATATACGGTGTCTACTGCGCCCGACGTTAAACGATTGGCCAATCCAAGAAGTTAAACATTGACTCTGTTGTCGGTACCTACAGTCGTTCGCGTCACCTTCTCTTTATCTTCACCTTATCTCTCTTTCTCTCTCTCTCTCTCTCTCTTCAGTTGACGGAAGTCAATCGGAAGCAATCATTTACAATTAAATACGTTATTTGTAACACGATTCTCCGTAGCTGTTCAATTTCCGAACGTCACGCGAAGAAGCAATTCCTCGTGTGAAATATCTTGTCACACTGGAAATAAAACGTTCACCGCACCGCCCTTTTGTGTTCTCACTCTGTCGAACTCCATTCTCGAAATCTCTCGCGTTTCACTATGGAGAGATTTCGAAAAAATAGCTCGAAAAATGGTGGTAAATCACACGAAAGTTCTCTCGGGACGAGAGAAAGAAAAGGAATCCCAACTATTAAATTACGTAAAATTACGTTCGTCGTCCGCGGACTCGTTTTTCTGCAGCCATTCGTTTTTGAGTCATCGAGTCGATTCTTTTATTACCTTCACCGCGATTCCACGGAGAGACCCGAAGAGTTATAATTGCCAACGGAACGCGGAAAATCGCTGTCCTCGTCCCCAATGTGCGCTTTTTCGCGATCGGGTGAAACTTATCGCTCGTTATTACTCGCATTCCGCGAGCCGGACCGTAATTAGATCGGATGTCTCGAGAATTACGGGCGGTTCGACGCGCGGGAATGCGCGCCGAAAGTGTCGCGTGTTTTCCGACGCGACTGAAAATGGTCTGTAAATAACGAGTGTGCGAAACGTCGTAAAAACAACGATATAACGTCATATTGGATCTTCAATTTTGTTGAAAATATTGAACATTACACATCGTTAATAATAACTGAGAAAAAGAGAGAGAAGAGAGAGAGAGAGAGAAAGAGATAGAGAGAGAGAGAGAGAGATTATTTTATGCATCGAGTTGGAACGCAAGTTGCAGTTTGCGTAAAATGTTGAACTTTTTCGCTGCGCAAACAGTTAAGACGGCAAACATCAAACATACCGCGTTTTCTTCCCCGCAAATTAAATTTTGATATCGAACAGTTTAATTTACAATTTGCGGGTACCCAACCCGGTACCTAGGTTCCGCGCGAGGCGGCTCGCGAAAACTTAAGATTTCATTAGCAAAAGGGTAAACGTATATACCGAAGCCATTAGCTTAATGTCGAACTTGAGTTTCAAGCGATCGTCGTAATTGAATTGCGCGCCGCGCGCGCGAGCGCAAACGCCTTTATATCGAGTGCGTCTCCGTTTGCCGAGCTAGTCTCGTTGTAATTTAATCGGACAGAGTTGCCTTTTTCGTACCCCCGTTCCGGCTATTTCGAAGGCTAATTTCCCTCGCAACGAGCGAATTCGTTCACGGCGCGCGCGGCACAGACGCGAATATAATTTCATATTTAATAGCGCGAGATGAACTGGAATGCGGCAGATGACCGATATCCAAATTGCACACCGGCGGGGGTAATTAATCGTATCAGCCCGCAATCTAATCAGACAACTCATTAAATTTGTTTCTTTATGTTCGCCGCCGAAGCGCGCGCCGCGCCGATGTTCGTTCAATAAGCCATCAATAATGTAAACGGGTTCGCCCCAGAGCCGACGTGGGGTTTGTGGATCCCGTTTACACGCTACACTTACAAACGCGACTTAGATATCTTTCATCAATTATTGAAGATAAAATATTCTCAAATAATAATCAAGGCAAAAAATAAATTAAAAAAAGTAAAAACATTAAAATGGAAAAAAATATCACAGAAATATCACCAATTAAATTACATATCGCAATTATAAATCGGTTCTTTCCTCCAAAGAATTGTCATCTTTCTTATTTGAAACTGTATAAAAAAAAAAAAAAGAATTGTCACTTTTCAAATAAAATTACAATTGTGAATGCAACGCAAATATTCACGCTTCGCGAGAAAGCTACGTCAAAGACCGCGCACGAAAAAAAAGAGTCTTGTGTGTTCTCAAAATAACTTGTCATTGAAGCCCCGACGCCTATCGGAGGGTGCTCGACTCGAGAGCTGCACACAACCCTTCGACGGGGGTCATTTGCGCGATACACACGCGCCAGGTAAAGAAAGTACCTACCATAATTTTTCCACTATGCAAATGGCCTTTAACGTTCCGCGGTAATTAAACTCCATACATGGTACGCTTAGTAGATAACGATACGGATAAAAAAAAAAAAAAAAAAAACCATTCAAAGAGAACAGTGTTTTTAAACAAAGCATGATAACTCGATTCCAAACATAATAAAAACACAGCAAAAAGAAAACGTAATTTAACAATTGTAAAACAAGCAGCCGGAAATATATTTTTTAAACGTGAAAATGTTATTTCGGAGTAAATGAAAATTCCATTAATTTTGCAGAGCACACCTGCAAGGACTTCCGGTGCACTCAAAATGAATTTTGCATCGAGACGGATCTTCTTTGTGACGGTGTGAACCACTGCGGCGACGGATCCGACGAGGCTACCTCCACCCTCTGTGCCAGTAAGTCTTAATTACCGCGAGTTCATTACAAATGCCGAGTTTCTCGAAATATTTGCTCTTCTTCGTTTTTTTTTTTTATTCATTAAAAATCTTAACCAATGAAAATTATTGTTCGAAATTACAATTTGAAATTTACTATCTCTCAGACCCACGTAATATATTGTTTTGCAAAAATACGTGATATTACTCAATAAACTCTGTGTTCTCGTTTCAGTTCGACAATTCAATATTTCTAAATCATTATGTTGTCCGTTGTGTAATTTCGGATATTAATAATTACTAGCACACAAATGGCAATATCAACTTGCCCAGTTAACACGAAATCAATACGCGTTCGCTATCAAGACATATCATGTATCAAGAAACTTTTTGTAGATATTCTTTTTTTGAGACACGCTATATTTAATGAGCAAAACGATTTAGATCACGGAGATAGAATCTCGCATGATGTAGTGCGGTTAGTCATGCTGTTCGAGTATCAAACAGATAAACACGTAGAAACGCGAATATTTTGAAAATAACAGTGTACGTACCGGTATCAAACTTTGTTATCGTACGAGCAAGTTTATTTGGGCCGCGCGAGTGTTTCAAACGAAAGAGAAAATTTCCATTCGTAAAATTCGTAAATTATATATTTACGGAAATTCGGAGAAACAAATGGCAGTGTAATTTTATTCGTGAAATCAATTTTCTCGCGCAAAATCAATTTTTATCCGACTTCTCTCTTCTCCCGCGTAAAAATACAGATTTAATTTTTTTTTTTTTTTAGGGAAATAAATAGACTCTGATTTTCCATTTTCCGCCCGCTAAATAATTACAGTCGCGTACTACATCGGTTGATTTATCGTTCGTCTCGTAATGGCAAGGCGCGATGTTTTTCCTAGAATTTTGTATACACGGCGAAATTGTTTCAATTTCTCGACAGAGAAACGATTGCAAATGCACGAGAACCGAATTTACATAACATTTATGTTAATGGCTGAAAGTACGTGCGCGTCGACATATCTGAAGAGGTTAATTGCCGTGTATTCATTACATATCCATAGGCAGCTCTCTCTCTCTCTCTCTCTCTCTCTTTCATTCTCTCTCTCTCTCTCTGTTTCGCAATATAGTAGCGAAGTAAATTACAAACTCGTCCGGATACTGCTTTTGCGCTCGCTCGCAGAAATTTAGCATATTCCGCTGATATTTTGTTAATTTGCCATATATTTCTGTATAATTTTCGGCTTCAATTAGCAAACAATTTACACCGTTTTGCGACAATAATAAATAAATATAATAAATGTAATAGACTTGGCTAAAAAAATTTAATACTCGATTAAAAAAAAAATTCCGTGTTTGCTCGATGAAGATCACAAAACAATGTTTCATATTGCAGTTAACTTCGCTACGTACACACAGAAAAATGCATACTGTATCAAGTATATAATAAGTTTATATATCCGCAAATATATTATAAGATTTTCGTAAGTATTTAATTTACTCAAAATACAAATTTACTAAGATTTAGAGTGTATTTTGAGTAAATTAAATACTTACAAAGATCTTATAATATATTTGCGGATATATAAACTTATTATATACTTGATACAGTATGCATTTTTCTGTGTGTACAGAGAGAGAGGTTCTATTTTTTTTTTATTTCAAAGAGTTTTTTTTATCATAACGTCACTTGTTAGAAATACAATTATTATTATTGTTCACTTCACAAACTGTGATTAAATTGTTGTTCAAGTCTTTCTCTCCATGTATTATTATTATTTTTTTATATTACACACTCTGTGATTAACTTAAGAAGCGCGTTCGCGCTTTCGACGAAACTCATCACTTTCCTGATTTGATCAAAGGGTTTTCCCTTGTGATTTCAGACTCCGAGGCATCGACGATCCTAGGCATGCAGACCACTTGGTTCGCCGTCGCCCTTGTTTTTCTGATACTCAGCATGGGCGGTCTGATAATGGTGGCGGTTCTCTGCTTTTGCAAGCAGCGTGTTCCTACCCCGAGGCATCCCCATAACGCGCACAATGCTCAGTCTCATCCCCCAGTCAGCTTCCCATGTGAGTCACAAAAAACCCTCCTTACATGTACACAATCGATTCGCATTTTGTCGTTGCCGCACGCATATGTATGATGTGTGTGTGTGTGTATATATATATATATATATATATATACACATCACGTGTACATATATATATATATATATGTGTATACATATGTAGTTGTGCAACATCGCCACCGTCAGCCAGTTCGTTCTTTGTGGCTTTATTTCGGAGTACTATTTTGAAACACAGGAAAAAACTTTTTTTTCCTCTGTCTCTTGCGACAGGTTGCGTAATGCTGTTACCGTAAACAACCGTATTCCCGCGGCACGGTGACACACGAGAACAGATAAAAATTATTTCTGTAAATTAAATTATCCGGTATAAATTACGGTATTAAATTAAGTCCACTTAAGACGTTAAATCCATTAAGACTCTAAAGCATGTGCACGAGTAATGAGCTTACGTATAGTTTTCAATGCTTATCTAGTATTATTTTGTGAAAATCGTAATCTCATTTTTTAAAACGAGATTTTGAATTTAAAAAAACACAAATTCAAATATTGACGTATGATATAGATATAAAAATTAAAATTGGCGTGTAAAATCCCTCTGGTATTCGGAACCTATTCGGTTCCGAGAGAGTTGGTTACAAAATTAAACTTTTATACCGGAAAATGTTTTACTTTCGAAGCGCCGAGTGCATTAACGGTGATGGAAATTAATTAATTTTTCCGTAAATATGTTAGCCGGCGCATTTAGTCGATTTGCTGCGAAGTTGCGTCCTGCGCCGGTCGAGTGCCAATGATCAAAGGACGCATCCGCGCGCTCGCGCGATCACGGCATGAATTATTCATTTATTTATGCGTTTATCGTATGTAACGACATCATTATACCGCTCACGTCATTACGTAGAATCGACGTCATACGCGGCTTGAAACTTTAGAAAAATTGTTTTCGCGATCAAATTCGATTTAAAATTTATATTTTGCTTGCATCTTCCCCTCTAACGCAAACTCTATGAGATTTTACGCATTAAATAAAAAATCATTGTTTTATAAAAATAATACTATTTTATCTCTAATTAACGTGTAACAAAATCTCATTTTAAACGAATATATTTCAGTCATGCGTTAATTTCGTAGTCGCGCAACGGATACAATAGGTAGGTACGTGAGATATTTAAGTTCTTGTGAGCTAATTAACATTAACACTGCTATTTACCGGCACATTGTAGATAAACATTAGATTATATAATAATAGCGAAGGATTTTGCCCCGGATTTGGAATATATTACACTGTAATGACGTTTGTGTATGTGCGCGCGCGCGCGCGCGAAATGTTATATTACTATGCCCCGTCATTTTCTATCGCATGCTAATACTTGATTATGCTGATCTCATTCAAACACCTTGTATATACATATATATATAATACATATACATATATATATATATACACATATACTATATATGTATTTATATACGTATATACATGTAGTGTTTGCTTTTCATTTGATTGCGTAGCGGTTTACCACACACTTCTGCGCGTCATCTCGTTTCACACATGTGTGTGTTGACAACAATTCTATTTAATTAATTTCACCTGCATATTTGACAGACACATTTGACGATCCCCCACGCATCCGTCAATCATTTTGCGCGTATTTGCGGCCGGCCGTCAAATTTATCTGTCGACGGGAAAACGCGCGCGGTTGTTCAGCTTTGATTCTCAACTTCATCATTTGTCACACGCACGCACGCACAATTCTTGCCCGAAACGTTCTCATACGTTCTTGACTCCGCGTTCCTTTGATATCGCTTAAGATACTTCATAGATTAAAAATTACATACACAAAGAATTCGTAAATAAAACACCTCAATTTCGGTAACTAGAACCGTTCGGCGACGAAAAGCCGACGACGTCGCGCCGTGCGAACTCGTGACCTCTTGACGAAAAGACATAAAAGCCGGCCTAAATATTCGTCGGTCGACTTAATTAGAAGCTTATTCCGTCGCGTTACAATCGCGGCTGTCGTCGTCTATAATTAAGCAGCGCGAAGTGATCGATAGACTATTGTGACAACCGCGCGGTGTATATATCGCCGTTTACAACGGCGTGTGTTTTATTTATGTATTTATGCGCAACTGTGCTATCCGCGTATCAGCGGCCGATACGATGCGGCGCGGTGAAATTAGAAGGCGGAAAACACAGCGAATGCGAAGAGAGAGAGAGAGAGAGAACGAGAAAAAAACTAAAAAGGATATGAGAAAAAACGCAGAACAAAATCGCACGTTGGGTGTTTTCATTAAGCGATCGATCGTCCGTGCGCCGCGTTCGATTTCTGGCTCCCGCGAACTCCTTTAATAATATCGTTTGGCTTTTCGCGATTTCAATCGAACATTTCGAACGCGCGCGAGGCATCGTCGATGTTTGCCGCAATTCCGCCGGTGTATCGCTGTTGTTTTTTGGCTCCCGCCACCTCCCCGCGGTAATCGATAGCAAATAGTGCGTGCCTCGCGGCTTGTTTCGTCCCGTTTGTTTATTGCTATTACGAACTGCGAGAGACAGGAAAGAGAGATAAAGAGAGAAAGAGATATAGGAAGTGTTCGCGTGCACTCGCGTTTAAATTAGTTTAATATACGCGAGTCTCTCTGTGCCCCTCCTCTCCCTCTCTCTCTCTCTCTCTTTCTATCTTTCTCTGTCTGTCTCTGGCGCACGATGCGTACTGAAAATTCGATTATCCGAAACAAACGGACGAGCGCGCGTCGGATAATTAATTCCGGAGAAACGCCGCGTTTTCGACTGACTAATGGAACGTCTGTCTCCGCGGTCGAGTTTTGCACGCGCATCCACCGCGAACTCGGTGCACTACGAATCGAATGATATCTTATCGGCGGATTATCGATGCGTGATTTAATCGTCGGTCGCACGCGTGCTACACAAGCAGCGTATTGTTTACATTCAAATATCAATAAATTAGACTAATTTCTCGAAAAAAATCGACTCGTATATAAGAAAATGTAGAATAAAATAATTAAAATATATGAAAATAGATATGTACATCTCTGTCAAGTTCAATGTTCGTAAAAAAAGATCGGAGGCTTTTTATACACGTGATGAGAAATTTTAATTTAATTTTGTTAATCGATACGCTTTATTAATTGATACACTTTTTGGAATTTATATATATAGGTTCAACTTTGAATCATTATTGTCTTACGTATCTCTATTTTTGATGTGTTTTGTGAAATTTCAATCGTATCTGCTGACACGAGTCTGTAATTATGAGACGCAGGAAATATCTCGAACGTAATTACAAGCAAAGAGCTAAATTTACTCGAGTTTGTAGCCGAGCAAAACGAAAGCAAATCCGTATCGCGTCGTCTTATAAATACATCTCGCGTTAATGTTAAATAACGCTTTGTTCGTTCGCTTCGCCATTTACGTCGCGAATTTGTAGTCCGGCAAATATAAAATAACGCGCGACACAAGAAAAAAAAAATAAAAAAATACTTGCGACTATAATTTCGCAATTCTTAAACAAAATGTTTTAATTACATCAATTAAGTAGATAATTCTGAAGCGGAAAATTCTGAAGCAGAAGGTTGACAGACTTTCGAGTGTTTGTCCACTTTAAATGTCAGAAGTATGTTCGAAACGCTCGAGATATTTTAGAAATTTTCTGAAAAAACACGATCGAAACTGGTGGTTCAACTACGTAGAAATTCAAAAATTCGAAAAATTAAGACGTCAATTTCGCAAAGATGTCAGATGAACTTATATATATATATATGTATATATGTGTGTGTGTGTGGAGAACGACGATTGCTACTGTACGTCGACGTCATATCCCGATTTAATGGAGCGCGTCGGCTTGATAACGGCCCTCGCCCCTCGTTGCACATTGTAAGATTTATTAGCGTCTCGCGCGAGGATCTTTTTGCAGTAGCGCGTTTCGAATAACGGTAAAATGTCGCAACAATGACGACCTTTATACGTGAAAATTGCCTCGACAATTTATCGACAATATACTATCGCGCGTGTATATTGCACATTCCCGGAATTTTACGTTAATTCGTCAATCAGTACACACACACACACACACACACACTCTCTCTCTCTCTCTCAGACACTTTCTCGTTCGAATTATTCGCGAAATCAAAATTGAAATGCCGCGTTTTTTCAATTTTCGATAAATGTTTTTTCCTTCTCTTCTATATTTACGCTCATCGTGAGAAATGTCCTTTGCGTTTATCCCGTGCGTTCTGTTATATTTTACAAGAGCGTGTTTTTCAGTGATGGTAAGTTTACACCGTACGGCCGATTCCGGTGTATTCACGCGGAATTTGCGAAGGATGCTCTTTTTACACCGGCGCGCACCGACATTTTCGATGAAACAAACGCGTTTCGCTTCCTGAAATACACATGCCACGCGGTTGCATCGATTTGTGCGATACCGCGCTTGTTGCACCACTGCGCCCACGCAGAGATATTTGTACGTACATCCGTATGCGGTATGTAGCCAGTCTCTCGTTGGAGTTTTGTCGAAAATTTGTCCGACCGATATTTATTCGAGCACGTCCAGCAACGAGCGTTCCCGGAAATAAATATTAAATAATTTCGAGTCGGAAGAGAGAGAGAGAGAGAGAGAGAAAGAGAGAAAGAGAAAGAGAGAGAGAGAGAGAGAGAGAGAAAGAGAGAGAGAGAGAATTGAAACAAACTTACGACAAACTGAAATTGTGTGCAAATAAAAACCGGAGTGGATATCAAAGTTTTGCATTTATGCGACCCGATTAAAACTGTATCTACATCGTCCTTCCCGACGTGTCCTGTTCATTTGAAAGATAGAAGATCTCCGAAATATGATGCAGTATCCGCTCGATGTGTACACGTAACACATTGGTTTGCGGATTTGTACATCTGATATGTACATCCGAGTTCGGCAGAACTAGCAATAAATTAAAGTACGAGACAGCGAGAGAGAGAGAGAGAGAGCGAGCTTTGTATCACAGATT